AGGTGTACGTGGCTGGCGCCTTAGCCAGTTGAGCTATAGGCACTGAGCCCATATTCATACTCTTAAAATAGACTCTAACCTCTAATACTCTAATAGCCCATTTTTAGGTCATATATATTTTATTTTAACCTCCTGGAACATTACCTGCAAATTAGTGATGTATAATTATATATGTGTACATATTATAGGTATATAAATATATACACACATCACAAACACAGCTACAGCATTAAACCTTGATCAGATCAATTCTCTTTGCCTCAGATTCTTCATCTACAGAATGGATAGCACAGAGATGATGATACTGCCTGCCTCACAGAGGTGTTATGAGAATTAAATTGAGGAATACAGACACAGAGCCTGAAACACTGCCCAGCAAAGGGAGCTCTACAGACTACTGTACACATGGCCCCTCGTGGAAATTGTGCCCCCCAGCGGTGGGGAGCTGCTTCTCCTGAGTTCAATGTGTCTCCCCCACTCTTAGTCGGTGACTCTCTGATGCCACTGAAATGTCCTCACTCCCTCACAGACGAAAAATCTGCAGAGCGCATGCCCTCAGAGCCTTCTAACACAGTTCTCCACCAGGGCAGGTTTCTTAGGTACTCAACCTAAAATTACAGATGGACAGAACTAAAGAGTTTCCTCCTCATGATTCTGGAATTGCTGCTAAGATGCGAACCCCTCAAAGAAGGGCTAAAAATCCACATTTGAAGTTCAAAAGCCCAATGAGAGTTGTGCCTCACCACTTACCTTCAGGGTTTACTTAGAGAAAACATTTCAGAGAAAACCAGCACTGCCTCTCACTATTACAAGAAAAAGACTAGAAAAGAGGAAGTGTCTCTTGGAGATAGAAATGTTCATGATAAACACTATTTCGGGGGGGGGGGAGGACTAGGATTTCTCCCCCCAGCAGAACAAGCAGAAAAGTACAAGTGCATTGTCTGTAAAACTGGATGTATGCTGGAACGGCACCGCTCATCCTCTAAGTTGGGGACTTGTCATTGCTTCTGAAGCTTGGCGGCCACTGACCTTGCTGAGGATTCCGCTGACGGCCCACAGAGAAAAGGGCGGGATGAAGGAGGCAGCACCAGTGGAGCAGCCTGCATTTCCCTTGCAAGGCAAACCGGGCATGTGAGTGTCTTGATTGCTGAATTGCCTTCGAGCCCTTTGTTGTACCCCATCCAATGGGACCGTCCCCAAGCTGAGACATTCCTACCATGTGAAGTGGGTTTCCAATTTCAGGGACATTGAAAAAATCCACAAATGTACCTCATTAGAGAGCCAGCCTTTAGAGGGGAATACATGTGTAAATACCCAGTCGGCTTGACAGGGCTACATTCCAGCAACAGCATCGTGTAGTAGGAAGATTTCTGCTGCTTCCATCCTCCTCTGGGTGTCTTCATCAGAGAGGAGGGCAGAGAAGTGGGGAGCAAAGCTTGCAAGGAGTCTCCCTCCACATCAGCCACTGAGCCACAAAGAGGGCTTTGCTGGACCCGGGGAAGGAAAAGTCCAACTAAAGGGGAAAGAGGACTCAGCAGAGCAAAGTGGGGCAGTTTCCCATGATCGAGATTTCTCCATAAACCAGGCAAACACACGCAGCCGATAAGGACTTGTTTAGTACCCTGTGTTACTGTACCAGGTGTGAAGGGTACGGTAACCAGAGACAAAGATGTGGCTCCTGATTATAATGTTTGGAGTGACAAATCGTCCTGTCTCTTCTCGCCAGTCTCTGCCTCTGTATCATGTTTTCTTTTTTTGCTGTCAGAGACTGTTCCCCTAAGAACATGAAAGCATCATGATTCTGTTAATTACTCTGTTCAATTTTTTAACATCACAAGGAAAACTCGACCAGAACACATTTTGAGAAGCAAAGAGGCCATCCGCATTTTCTTCCTTCAAGGATTGTGTATTACAGAGCTGCCAACATTCCTTTCTCAACTACATTTCCCAAAAGCTTAGCACTTGGCCATAAAAGTTCGCTCCAGCCTAAAATTTGGCATGTGTGACACAGAAGTCTTCAAATTTGCCAATTTGGCTGACATCTTTGTGAATAGCAAGGAGGGAAATAGGAAAAAAACTGGAGTGAAAGGCCATAAATCATACCATTATTTGGAGGGATTATTCATTTCATGGGATAATGAAGCTACAAGAAATTAAGCCTAAAATATGTTTGTGTTTTTTTTTTCAGTGAGGGTTTTCAAAAGCCTAAAATGTAGAGATATGATACTATGTAAAAAATGTAAATAAGTAATACACAAAGATATGAGATTCTCCATTCTGTTAATTCTTGTTTCTCCACAATTTCACATGATTATTCCTTTGTTTTATAAAGTACTTGAGATTAAAAAGAAAGCAAAAATAAAACAAAAATTTCCTACCTATGTTCAGATATATATGAATAAAGGATAAAGATATAAAGCATTCTAGAGAACCTGTACCCTTAGACACACACACACATGGATATATATGTGTTCATAGCACTAGATTAAAAGGTCTGTCTAGAAAATCTCCAGCCACATAATCTGAACAATAGAGATATACGTGGCTGGACACTTTCCAGGCAGCCCTCAAATATGGACAAGAGCTTACTGGAGATTTTTTGAAAGCATTATGGGCAGATGAGATTAAGGAATGTAATCTTTTCCTATCCATTGATATATCTTAGGTAGTTAGGCTTGAGGTATTTTCCCACAAAGACAGAGACTTCTTGGATCTGTAAGCATCATTTTTTATGATAGGATTTAAGAAGTGGCAGTTAACAGAACTCCACAGAGAAAGTCAGTGCAAAGTAAGTGTGCTGCCACGGTCTGCTGCCGGACAGGTCTGGAGATAATTCTCTACAAGGCACGACCACATTTTTGCAATCCTGCCTGCCTCCTATGAGATCTGCATAAGATGAAGCAGGTATAATCTCCTAGAGTCCCATGTTGAACTATTATACAATTGGGAAAATTGGAAAACACTATCTTGTCATTTCCATTTGCAAATATAAACCAAGTGTCATGCTATCCCTAAACAATTCTGATTTTGAAAAACAATGATGAAAATCATGTGCTACAGATCCCCACATGATTATACAAGTTCAGAAGCATTTGCCTGGAGCTGCCATCCTGGTGTCAGGGACACACCAACATGGCCCCAGTGACTGAGATTAATGACATAAACACTGAATAATTCTCAATCTAATCATGTGTATTTTCCCAGCTCTCTCTTCAAACAAATTTTTAGTCTATTTCTTTTCATGCTTCCTAAGAAAATTCGGAATTGTAAAATCTAATTTAGAAGCTACTATGTAAGTTACACACTTATTAATAATTCAGGAAGCATCTTTTCACATAAACTATGGGCATACTATGCTTACCTCCAAAATTACAGAAGCAAGTTTAAATTTCTTTCAACACTTTTTTTGAAAGGGCAACCTTCTGATTCCATCTTACATAGTTTTAAACTCCTTAAACTTTACTCATCAAAAGCCATTATGTCCTATGCACTACATAGGAGATGTCTGCCCTAGAATAGAAGCACGTTGGCAAAGAGGTTTCATCCATGACTTCCTTGAATACACAGCTCTCCCTAAAACAGCGTTGACAATATCCATCTATATTACATCAGAACTTCTTCACTGAAAGATTCAATCTCTTCGCAGCTAGCTGACTGAATGAACACGGGGACCTTCAGTATTCCTGGAGATAAAGAGTTATATTCATCCCTTTAAAATCACGCTGATATACAATCCAACCTGCACTGATGTTTGAGAATAAATAGGAAAAGAAATTTCCTCTACTGAGACTTCAAAGACTTTGCAACATCTGGAATCTGATTCTATACAGGGTATTCCAGTGAGAAGTAAGAAGAAAAGGATTTTAATGGAGCAAACAAGATTCAGGTTTCTTTCAATATGTTCTCCCTGGGGGGAAACAAATAACACAGTGCATCTGACTAACCTTTCTGCACTTCAGCTGCATTAATTAACATTTAGTCATGGATTCCATCCTGAGCCAGATGAACTCAGTGCTACAGCTGTTTTCATTGAAGGGCAAAAAATATGAGTTCACATTTCAGATTCCCAGCATTTGTAAATCTGAGAAAAAAATATTGTATAGACTGCCTTTGTGCCAACACTATTGATAAGAATGAGCTATGATTTAATAAAAATAAAAGAAAAAAGAAAAATAAATAATTACATAGTACTCACTTGCTCAAATAAATTCACACCCACCCTAGGCTGTGATTAAATCAAGTATCAATAGTACATAAACTGGGTCAGGCAGAGCCAATTCTATAAAAATCACATTCTTACCTCCCTTTTTCTTACATCAAGGGATAAGGAAAGGCTAAAGAACTAATCAAAGAAGTGGACCAGTGCCTTGGAGAAACTGTTGCTGGGTTAGTAAGAAACTTAAGTAGAGATCAGGTACAATAAGAATGGTCCAGATGATGGAAGAATGAACAGCTGTTGGTAGGTTTCACCGCAGGGTCTGACGATGTGGCACAGCCACACTCAACTTCACAAGCCAAACTCATGGAAGTCGTTGTCTGGGAGCAAAGTTGAGGTACAGAACCGTAATACTCAGTAAGCCATTGAGAGAGGGGGTTTGTTTTGTTTTTGTGGCAATGGACCCTTTTAAGAGGCAGTTTTATGAAAAAGTATGTCAGTGCCTGAGCTGGAAAGAGTGTTCTACCTACAACATCTAGTCACAGTTTGTGTCACAAGACCACTGTAAAATCAAATTTTTCTCCAACAGTCTCTTACAATTTCTACATCAACTGAAATGGTCAACTCTGGAGTCTCATGGAGGAATGGAAATCCAGTGTCCGCGAGTGTGCATGCATTCACTTATACCGGCGTGCATACCAGGAGTCATTATCTGGGTAAATGCTAACCAAATTTGTTAGTTGCCTTCTTGAATTATTGTTCACAGCCATGACTCAAGAAGAATGAACTAGGTCTAATCTGTCTTCCCTTCTATCAACACGGATTTGACAATAAAATATCTTACCCGGAACGACTTCGAAAAGGAATTTCCCTGGGTTTTCTTCATTGCAGGGATGTTCAAGGACTTTATTTCCAGGCAGAAAAATAGTGCCCTGTGAACAAAAATGGGCAAATCATTAACATTATTAGATAGCAAACCTCATAGATCATCATCATCATCATCATCATCGTGAATACCCAAGGTGTGGCTGCAATCCGCCATTTGCGTCAGACTCCTTTATGTTCCCAATAATCAAAAATCATGTACCAGAATCATATTTATTTAATCCTTAACAATATTTATTGAGCATCTTGTATACATAATATGCTATATTAGCTACTAGATTTTTTTAAGTATCATTTTTTAAAAGACATTTGGTATGTTAGAATTTTACCGAGGATTCTAACAACATCATATTTAGTTACTAGAGTAACTTTATGAGGTAGGTATTATTTCTCCCACTTTATAGCTGTGAAAAAAAAGCAGAGACATCAATTAAATGTTAGGCAATGTTGTGATAAGATTTCTCTTGGTTATCCATCTTCTTCTCTGTATGTTGGATTTCTCTCCTTTCAGTGAAACATTGGCATTACTACGGAAACATATTTAAGTCTAGCCCATTAAAAAATTACTTTAACTCCACCTTCCCCTTCAGCTATCATCTTGTCATTTCCCTTGGCTAGCAAAGAGTTGTCTACACTGAATACATTTCCGCCCATGTATCCGCTACTACCTGGTTTATGTACCCATAATTCCACTGTCATGACTCTCACCCTCTGTGTGCTTGAAATGAGCAACTCCAATTAACTTGACCTTCCAGAAGCATTCATCACTACTGACCACTCTTTCTTGAAGCACTGCCTTGATTTCTTGGTTTTCTCCAGGTTTTCCCCTCACTTCTCTGATTCCTGAGTCTCTTTTGCTGACTCTAATTGGCCTTTAAATATTTGAGTTTTTCCAAGATTCATCCAATGATTCCCTTTCTTCTGGCTCTTTCTCCAGCCTGTATCATCTATGCCCATGACTTCAGTAACCAACTATAAGACAATGATTCTAACCCAGGGTTCTCTGAGTTCCAGTCCTTCACATCTGAGAGCTTATTTGACATTCCCACCTAGACATCTCAAAGACATACTAAAGTCAACTTAGTCAAATTAAAATACAAGTAAATCTGGTCCTTACCCTGAATTCCCTAGCTCAGTGACTGGCGCCATCTTCCATACAGTTGCAAAAATCAGAAATGCAGGAATCCTTATCTCTATTACACTCTATTTCTCCTGTCACTACCCTCTAGTTAAAAGCAACCATTATTTCTTGCCTGGAATGTTTCAAATTGTTCTTTCACTGAATGCTCCAGAAAACCTTAAAATATTTCAACCCATTTTTTCCTTACAGCACTCAGAGTAATCTTCAGAAACAGAAATTTGTACTGCAATTTTCCTATTTAAAAATCTGCAACAGCTTTCATTTTTTTCTAGGATAAAGGTCTGGGTGGTCTAGCACCACTCATATCTCTAACCTATTTTTTCCACTGTTACATTTTTGTTACTTTCTGTGGCTTTATATGGTCTAGCAAATTGCCCTTTTATAAATGGCATCGTGCTCCCATCTATCTCAGGACAACAGTATTTCCCTGGTTATTTTATACCATTCTTATGACTGAGTACATCTAAGATATGCTTGCATAAAGTCCTGAATTTATCCAGGAATGATTTGCCATGGTATATAATTATGTTTTTTGTAAGGTTATTTGATTATTGTCTATCTCCCTCATTAATCCATAAGGAAACAAAGATGATAATATGTGTTTTGATACTTTATTTACGACTACCGTCTAACATTTTTCCTGGCATACAATTAATGCTAAAAAGGTATATTTTTGAGTGAATGAGTGCTATTAGAGCTGGAAAGATAGCACGCAAAACCAAGCATGCTGGAGTCAAAGCCCAGGCTTTTGACCACAATATCACACATTTTTTTTCACACCTTGAAACAATATGTATTTAGCTCTTATAGATTATCATTCATTGGTCATCCTGCCTGGTTTGGCACAGAAAATTATAATTATAACTAGTTCCCTCCTTCTGGGCTTAGAGACATAAAGCATAGTATTCTTAACTAAAACTAGGGAATGATAGGATAGGTTAGAAGTATCCCTCACTCCACATCTTACCAAGTCAGGTGATGGAGGTACCACTTCGGTTTTCCTCCTCCAAGAAATACATTTTTCTGATGTTCATCATATCTAGATTCCTCTGACCTTGAATCCCATTTTGGTCACTGGTATCTTAATAACATTTGTTTTTAATTTACTAAATACTTTGAAGATTTTCATCATAATTAAGACCTTTTATTACCCCTATAGGCTTAATCTCTATGGTTTATATATAAAGTGGTATAATCAATTGCTTCCATTAAGATTGTATTCTATTTACTAAAAGGATTTTTTATTTCTTATAGCATAACTGTATACATTAATGCAATCAGGGGGTACAGTGTGCGGTTTTCATATACATTTTGAAATACTTTCATCAAACTGTTTAACATAACCTTCATGTCATTTTCTTTGTTATTGAGTTAAAACGTTCTTACTCTGCTTTTAAAAAGATTCACTTGTACCCTTGTAAGATAAACCATAGAGGTGAAAGGAGTTTGTGAAGTAATTTCAATTTATGATTTATCTTAGAACGTAGCATCTAACCTTCCAGATATAAATCAGGTATACATAGTATTCACATGTTTGGGTGACTCCTGTTTAATTCTATACCTTCGGGCTCTACTTAAGATCTTAAATTGTATGTGTGCCATATACGTTGAATTCAAGTCTCTCTCCTGCATGAACAAAGCCTTCATGAAATCCCAGACTACCTCAGTTGGTAATGAAAGGACTCCAGGTCATGCTGTCCTTTGCTGTCTTTTTATATATGTAAAAAAGCTGCTTCTGCCTAAAGTTACTGTTTTCATTTTCAAATCTGATATTATGCAAGTTTTATATTTTGACAGTTTTCCAAACAAGCTGTGATATAAAAATAATAGTTTAAATATCCATAGACAGAGTTTAAGGCAGGATATATTGTAACAAAAAAAAGGATATACTGTAACAAACATTTACTGTGGCCAATTTAATAAGTCATTCAATACAGTAAAGTAAAATCATTTAATTGAAACAACTATCTTGATCACCTTGCATAGAAATTATGTAAAGTCCACAACTAAGGGAAATATCTTAATTGTGATAGTTATTTTCAAAGTATTTAACAATGTCAGAAAATCTCTAATGTACCCATTGCAGTTAACCAATATGAATACCACATACATCCTTTCATATATCTACATATTTTTGCATATGAACATATAAACATATACAGAAATATGTAAACTAATTTTTACAAAAATAGTAATCAAAATAAAAAGGCAGCTTCAAAACTTAAGAGTCATATATTTTTATTGTGCCAATGTAATAATCTACATCATCCTTAAAAGTCAAACTGAATAATACTTGCTTGAATATTCATGCTTTTACATCTTCTATGGCTGTAAAGTGTTTATGCATTTTTCTAATGTTATTGTGAAGACTATTTTAATGCACGTTCATGAAGCCAAGTCTTTGAGCTCTCTTTCTTAACCTAATTCCTTCAGGGCAAATACCTAGGAGAGGAATTAGCCCTCTAGAATCATGCACTGTTTAATGCATTTATTTAATTCTTACAGGGCTGCTATAAACTCGCCAAATGAAGAAGCAACTGACTAGTAAGGAAGTATTAATTGGAGTGGCCACCCTAACTCAGAAGCAATTTATCGACATCCACCATGCCAGCTATACACCGGCTGTCTGGAAAGTATCCAGCTGTCTGTGTCTCTATTTTTCATAGTACGTGGCTGAATACTCTCTGGACAGCCTTGATAATTTCTATAATTATCTCAGGTGATATGAGGTATGTGAAAGAAATAAACTCTTCCTCTCAACACAAGAATAACACAGTACATAACTATACAACAAACAAGTGCCAAGGTATGTAGAAAAACAAGAAAATGCAATAAAAGTTTAAGACAAGCATCACAAGGCCAAGCTGGTTAGTTAGGAAAGATAATACAAAGCAAATGGTTGTTAAAGGAAGATAGGTTTTTAAGATTTAGTGAGCTAGGAGAAATCTTTCAAAGTGCAGGAAATAACATCAACAAAATCAGAAATTAGAGCCATCTGTGCAGAGCACATTAGAATAAGCAAAAGATCCATGTGGAGAAATAATTAGGAAGTGCAGATTGTGGGTTACATATGTTGAGGATGTGCTGTAGGAAATCTAAGCCGAGGCGGGAGATGGTGCACTTGATATCCGTAACAACCGAGAGCCAGCGCGCTCCCGAGCAAAGCAGATGGAGGTTTAAGAACACCAGACTCCTAACAGTTTGTTGTCATAAAGCAATTAATTTGACATAAGATGGTAAAGTCAAGACTTATACAGACACCGGCAGCAGAAATGGCATGCACTTGCATTAGAGATGGATTAGTAGGGACATAGTTTTAAGAAAAATAAACAGGTCATGGGTTAAACAGGAAATAAAGAAGAGGAGTAAAAAATGTGTTCAGTTTTTCCCTTTATATCTGGAGAAAGGTGATGCCTCTCGTTAGGCATGGGAGTCAGGAAGATGCAAGCTCTGTTAGGCCCATAGACTAAGCCCAAAGTGGGCGATGTTTGTTCATTTTCTGTTCATGCCTATGCTGGACATCTTTGTTCCCGCAGACCTCTCCCCCCTCACTCTATTCTGTACCTAAAAGAGTCATCTCTATAAATTGCACAAACCAGGCTCCCTTGATCTCTGTCTTTGAGTTGGGTTTGAGAGGCCACAATAAGAAGTCATAAGACTACCCAACAGGTACTTCAAAATACTTACCTGTGTCCCTCTACGCTAGGCAGCAACCTGGTTGTAGTTGCACCAGGTCCCATCTCAGTCCACACGTCCCGAAGTTGCAGGATTCCCCAAGTTCCAGTACGACTGAGTGGTAATGGGTTCTGCCCTATTTTCCGACCCAGAGTGTTTCTCCAGCCACTGCTTTTCACTAACCCTCCCAACATTTAATAAATGGTTTCTTTCTCACACACTCCTCAATGA